TTTGTTGGGAAGACTCAAGGTGTTGTAAGATGACTTTTTTTTTTTTTTAAGATTTTATTTATTTATTTGACAGAGAGAGAGATAGCAAGAGAGGGAACACAAGCAGGGGGAGTGGGAGAGGGAGAAGCAGGCTTCCTGCTGAGCAGGGAGCCCGATGTGGGGCTTGATCCCAGGACCCTGGGACCATGACCTGAGCTGAAGGCAGACTCTAAACAACTGAGCCACCCAGGTGCCCCGTGATGACTTCCTGAATTATTTCCTGGATAAATTAGATATTGCAATGTCTACTGGGCACTTGTGTTCATCTCCATTTAGCAGGAAATATTATTGAGATATATCTTTTTTTCAAGATATATATCTTGTGTAAAAACCAAGTTAGTGGAATATTACTTGGTAAAAGTAAATTATAAATATCAAGATAAAAGAGATAATTTTTTAGGGGCGCCTGGGTGGCTCAGTTGGTTAAGCGACTGCTTTCAGCTCAGGTCATGATCCTGGAGTCTCAGGATCGAGTCCCGCATCAGGCTCCCTGCTCAGCGGGGAGTCTGCTTCTCCCTCTGACTCTTCCCCCTCTCATGTGCTCTCTCTCTCTCTCTCTCTCATTCTCTCTCTCTCAAATAAATAAATAAATAAAATGTTTAAAAAAAAAAGAGCTAGTTTTTTAGAACCAACTGTGCTCCTGGTATTTAATATAAATTATTTCACTTAATTTTCAAAGTCTGTAAGATAGGTTTTAACGTCTCCACTGTCAGGGGGTGGAGACCAATCTCAGAGATTAAGTAACAGACTCAGTATGTCATAGCTAATATATCATGGGGCTGGAATTTGAATCCAGTTCTCCCTGTAAAAATCATGTTCTCTCTACTACTCTTTACAGGGCCTCATATAAAGGATTCTGCACTGAATAGTAAAGCAGGGCAAATGACAGTAACTGAGAACTTGATGCAACGAATATGTCCTGATTCTATAATATGTCCAGGTGTTGTCACACTCACATTGAATATATTTTCATTAACATCCATCAAGTGTACTAATTTTTTACTTGTATTTTAATGATAAGCACAGTTTTATATTCTGATATCCTCTGCATATAGCATATAAAACAGGTATCAGTAGTGTATGGTTCCCTCTGGAAATAAAAGTTATAACTTTCAAGAAGGAAAAATAGAATAAAGTGATAATACTTTCAGATGAAAGAGTTCTCCGAGACTGGCTAACCCAGCTCCCCTTTGCTGTGAAGGAGAAAACCGAGGTCGAGAGAGTTAAGATGGTTGATGGGTTAAGATGGTTGAAGAGAGTTAAGATGTATAACAAGGTTATACATCTTGTGAGGGGCAAAGCCCAGCCTAGAATTTAGGTTTCTAGATTCCTTGTGCAATGCTCTTCCCACTTATCTATGCTGCCTGTCCGATGCTGATAAGTGTTTAATTATTAGCTATATCTGGCCCTCATTCCCAAGGAGACTTAAAGCAACTTAAAAAGTACATATGAAACAAGGTTAAAATTAAAGATAAGAAATCAGGGCAACCATAAATAGGAAAAATAAGATGAAGACACACTACCTCCTACAAATTCCCGTATATTTGCCTCAGTGCAAATGTGTTGGCTCACAGAACAAAAAGTAAAGATTTTAAGCCTACTTTTAAAAAGACAACATTTTAAAGATACTTTTACGTTTTAAAGTAAATTTGAGGGATATTTTAAACCTACTTTTTAAAAGGACAGAAAAACAATAAAGAATGAAGAAGAGGAAAACTCAAGTTGATAGCAGCGTCCTCATTTATTACCGCATCCTGCTCTAGGATGTTCTAGGATGCTCTTTGGGCAGGTAGAAGTGCAGTTTTAAGACCTTTCCCCCTCAGAGCTTTGTTTCTGGCACCAGACAAATGTTTGCAGAAAAAAAAAATGCTGAGACTGATTGCCTTAAGTAATATACATATTTCCCATCTTTAAGTAAATAACGAGCAAAGAGAGGTTTGCCATTTTTTAGACACCAGAAGGAAATCTGCTTACCTCTGATTACAAAGCTGACATGCAAAGCAGTCCAGGTGGTAAACGTTGTCCTTGGCGCGCATCACCATCTCAAAGGCAGGGATGAGCTTACTGCAGGCGGCACAGTTTCCCGTCACACCGAAGAGCCTGGAACAATAAACATTTTTTTCAAACTCTTACAGGGAGATCTGAGATGATGACTAGAGAAGGTGCCAGGACACCCTGAAAGCTATCAATACACAATGCCTTATGATGTACACAAGCAGGTTTTATCCTCCGCAGATACGTAAGTATTCTTCTCTGATACATACTCAGTTGACCTTTCTTGATGAAAATCACATCTTATTTGAGAAGAAAAGGAAAAGACAAATACATCAGGAAGCTTACATAACCATACACACACAAGTCAATGGGGGTGAATTCGCAGCAAACAAATCTACTTGATAGAAAATGCAGTAAATAGAAATGTGACGTAACTTTGATCTTAATGCCACATAATAGCCATTTTCACTGGAAAAGAAACCCATTTGAATGACTCACTATTTTCTGACATCTAGTTACCACAAGGTTTGCCATTATTATTAAAAGAATGTTCATGAACAAGCCATTTAAATAGTCAAAAAACATTAGAGGCGCATGTACCTTATGGCCCTATACCATAGTTATAGCTATGATTATGTTATTCAAGTAGCACTTTAAAGCAAATGAGGCCATAAACTACATATCGCTTGACCAGGAGTTGAAACATAATATATTGAAAGAACCACTGGAACTGTCCAGGAAAAAGGTATTTTAAAAAAATCCTATTTGCGATAGATTCTTGAAAATAGTTATTGTAATGACCGAAAAAAAATAGTATAAAATAAAGTGTCTCTATAGTTTCATAATGGGAGGAAATAAAATATTTTATCCATTTGCACTGGCAATATTTAAACCAAGTTTCTTTAAAGTTGTTAATGGTGGTGAAGAGTTATTATAAATAATATTCCGTGCATAGCAGTTAATGCACTTTTTAACTAGGAAGCAAACTAGATGAAAAACACCACATCTGCCAGTTTCTTTTTTCTCCAGCATCAGGCTGACAGGAGAAAAATATAATGGCTCTCATGGGAAAGACCAAATTAAAAGCAATTCTAAACTAATGAATTCAAAGGTGCTATGGAGAAAACTCATTTTATTTATAAAAGTGCACTTTAAAAAACTTAGTCTTTCTCATTATTGAATTTAAGTATTATGCACAAATGTGCTGAAGTTTCTCTTCTTATACTTTCTAAATACTCCAAAGACAGGTAGGCCTTTGCTTAAGGCATGCATATTCATGTTCAAGTTTATGACCATTTCCTCTTACCAGGCTAATGACAATTGTTGGAAAGAGTTGTGAGAATGGTTTTCAGGGTCTGGCAAAATGTGCAATAAATGTTCATGCGTATGTTTTTGTTAGATTGTCTTTAGAAGAATGTAAGCGCCTTGAGGGTAGAAAGCGTAAATGCTTTTTAAACAGCTTGCCGGTATGATCTGTGCCCTTGATGAGAGGGGAAGGAAGTTTTATATTCAAGAAGACTAAATTCAAGATTGTTAGGCACTGTTTTCCTGCAAGGATTTTAAAAACATTCTAATAAGGAGTATAACTCTAATCACCTTCATGTTCCCAGTTTACAGCCCCTATTTTAGAAAATAGTTTTTCTCTAAAAAGAACTTCACTGAAAACATAGTATCTCACATCTCCTACTGGTGCCGTTAAAAATGAAACCACCACAAGCTAAAGCTTTCATCCTGTTCTTTTGTAAGCAGAATTTTCCCGTCCCTTCTAACATTTCACATTTCCTTTTCAGGGCACTTCATATGATCCATTTAGGAGTCACATCCCTTACATGTGCCATTTGTTCCTTCTGTCCTTTCATTATTTATTTATTTATGTGGGGGGTTTTTTTGTTTGTTTTTTTGAGAAATAAGGAAATCTTTAAAAGTTCTTGATTCCACAAATATAGATGCACTTGTGGGTAGAAAATGTGGCTGGTAGGTGAGAACGCGGTTGTTGAGAACTACTCGGTTTGCTTACACCTCATAAACATACCCACACAATGCCATTTTGAAATTCTGGACATAGTTTCCCCCAATTTCAATTGCTCTCGCTAGCTGAGCATTTATCAGCTACCTGATTAGAATTTGTTTCCACACAAACCATTGATCATCAGCCTATTACTAGGCAAATGACAGTTAATTACCCACTACATTAACCACTGGGACCTGAGACCTGCTTCTGCTGCCATCAGTCAACATGATAAATGTGGCAAGTTCAGTAATGCATGGCCAGCCCTGAGCTGCCTGCTATACTGCGAACAACCCTCAATCTCACTTCCAGGCCCAGGAAAATCTATGGCAATCTGCATAATTACAAGCTCTGGGTTAATAACAGACAAATGATTTGTTGCATCTAAACAAAGTCCTTGGAATTGTACTGGTCTCTGGTGGCTGGCTGTCCGGCGTGCCGCCTCTACTGTACTAGCCACTGCAATGTGCACAAAACACTTCTCTGCCGTTACAGCCTTCCAATTTGTTGCCCTCCAATTTATGGATTCTGCATATGTGATTTTTAATCATTAAAGGACTCTTGAAGCAATATTATCTTAATTATTCTCTGCTGTAACCAGGGAATTAGGCTTCAGATAAAATTTTCTTCTTCCAGGCACTTTCCCTGCCTCGCTGGAGGCTCCATCAGTTTCCATCTACACCTGGACTCTGAAATCCTAATGATGAATTATTGCCCCTTTTCCTAAGAGGGCGAACCTTACAAGGGAACATTTTACTGAACTGTCAGCTCACAGACTGAGTGCGGAGATGCGGAAATCTGATCTAATTTACTGCAAAACGATGCATTTGTTAGACTTTTTCCTCAGTTTCGTCCAAGGATCAAGAGATCATTCTATAGCCACATTCATGTTCTTTTTCGCAGTTGGACGAACCCAAGATTCTCTGAGAAAAGGAAACAAAGTCCTATTTTACAAAATCAGGCTTTTTCCCAAGCCTATAATGTTATCCTTTGGTTTTCAAACATGACATTTGGATTCTCGGGCAAAAATAATTTTCATATAATATATCAGCTAAGCATAAGGCATGCATGGTCCTCATTTGTAAGATTTTTTTTCAGATATGTCTAGGATATATTCAAGAAGAGTCTCTTAATTATCTAACTCATTTAGACTATTCATAATCCTGGAAATTCTTGTAACCCCTTCCTCTCCACCCCTCACTCCCAGACTCATTTATAGGGATGTTAATACTGATCCACTATTCTGTTTAAGCAAGAGACCTCTGTAATCACTTGTTTCCAGTGCTTACAAGATCTCATCCTAACAGAAGAGGAGGGCCTAAGTATACTTAGCAAATAGTACACTGAGACAGACAAAGCTTTATTTAAAAAAGGAGTCATTTTGAAATTCTGACCTAAATTCATCAGAGAGTATCAGCTCATAGATTTTTGGTAAGGAAAACATAATTGATCCATTTTGCTCAGCTTAAAACATCTTACAGATTATTAAAGCATGGCAGGGGTTAATTTGCCAATTTATGGGCTAGATTTTTCCCTACCATTTATGCTCATAATAGGCTTTAAGCGATACGACCTTTGTCTTGTTTCTGACACACTACCAAAAGTGGATTTACAATATACGAGGTGACAACTACCATCTATACAATATCAATGCATATAACTATTTGCAGGGATCCCAAAGGACGTTCCTGTCCTTTTTCCACTCTGTTTTCACTTTCGCTACCTGGCACTGACAATCTAAACACAGACACGAAGGTAAAAAAACCAAACAGCCAACTTATGGATAAGAACTCCGCCTATCTGTATGCTATGTAACACTTCCCACACTGTAGTGTGCATGCAGAGAAACAGTATTTTGTGTGTGTATGGGTGGCAAGGCAAGACCTAAGACAACACACATATTTTTTAAAGGTACTCAGAAGATTTTGCACTTTTACTAAATGTTCAACAGCTTTTGCAACATAGTCATAAATCAGGTAAAGTCTGTATGGGTTAGTATATATCCATTACTAAAGTTCCTGGAGGTGGGGGTAGAGAAAAACTCGACATATAATCATTTAACATAGCAATAATGAATATGGTTTACTACAGGCATCCAGGGGAAAATGAGTGTTCATTGTATTAGTGTCTTTTATTTCACAGCCCCAGATGTTTCTATAGATTTTTTATCAGGTCAGTGGCTCAAGTCACTAAATCAAATTCCCCCAAGCCATGGAAAGCATAGTATTTGACTCAAATTAATTTATTATTTGGGGGGAAAATGCATAAATAAATATCACTGCAGTAAACCTTAATTCTGAGCAAAGATCAAGTATTCTCTTCTAGTATTCAGGCAACCCTCATTTAGCAACTTGAATATACATGAATTCAACAGTAAATTTTTTTCAATATCGCAGAGAAGACTTTAGTTATCATCCTATGTGTATAAAAAAAAAAACCATCTCTACGCAGAATAACTAGAGATGAACAGAGAAAGAAAAGTTTAGTTTTCTAAGAATATGAGGTTGTAATCAATGGAAAAGATCTTTAACTTTTGACTGCTGGATGGTGAAGTTTTATTGAACATGTTATGTGAGCAGGAATAGAACATTTTCACAGATTGAGAAGGGCAATTGCCTTTTTTGTCTATTACAAATATACTTTTCATCTCCTTTCGTATTTCACTTTTTAAACTAAGGAATGGTAGTGATAGAAAATGAAAACCCTTTAAACATTCAGTTCTTTTGTTTTAAATGTATAAAGCTCACCCATTTCAAGGGTGAAGAGAGTTGAACCTATTGTTTTCTCCCCTGTTGGGTCTTAGCATGTGATCCACTGTCACAGAGATAAAGAAATTGTGGGAGTTAAAAGAGGGAAAAAAGGGCAACATTGAACATTTGTAAATGTACAAAGGAGAATATAAAAAATGTTTAACATTAATTTGAACCATGCTTCTAATTGTTACACAGTTAGGCTTTGCATATATTTTTAGTATACACTGTGCAAATAGATGAAGCTGAATTTTTCAAAAGTTAAGCTAAAAAAAGTTGACCATGTTTTAAAGGCACTAGATACACCACCTGTTAAAGGAAGCTTAGGGATTATTCCTTTCAGAGTT